ACTCACATTAATCATACCGCTGAAATTACTATAACCTGTGCACGTTCTAGTTAGGTACCCATTAAAGATCGGTAGTTCTACAGTTAAATCAGGACTGTGCTTAACACTAAGTTTACGGGCGCTATCTGTGTACCTATTTCTAAGGACACCTGTCAAATTGACAGGTAAAGGAAACCACGTGCCTTTTCTTTTTTAACGATTAGTTTAATTTCAAACCAATTATATATTATATTAACAGTCTTGATATAAGTTAACTAAATCTGTTACCAACGTATAATTGGAACAACCCATCCGTCAAATTCACGGGTTCTGTGAATCTAGTGTTAAGCATAAATATCTGAAAAACTGAGTAGTTGCCCTAATAATGGTACGAATGGTACGAATCTGCAAACCTGCAAAGTTTCAACTAAATCAATGACCCGTGGGACTTGCATTCTCCTTGTCAGTAGCACGTCGCAATATTCGCGTGGACTGGCGAGAAGAGAAAATTCTGGATGCGTTAGCCTTATCTCTGCCCGTTCCATCGGCCTTATCAAAACGACCAAACGTACGTACCCAGGGGGATGAAAGAAATTTACTCGCACGCTGGAATATCTAAAAAGCGGCAGTGAAAAGAGAGGATCGAAGGAGATAGAACGAGAACCAGTTTCGCGGTACTGCAACCCTATTCCATTAGTTTCGCGATCAGCGAAATACACGGTAAAAAGGTGTCAAGCTCGTAAATTATCGCGAGCAATATCGCGAGATATCGCGCGGAATATGCAAAGCGGTACAAAAGGCACGATGACCGCTCGATACCGATCTACGATCCCTTAACGAGGCGCCTCGATCGGTGATCCACGAACGAGGAAACGTGCTGGCAAAAATCGGCCATCGCTCTATCCAGCATGGAGCAAACGCCTAATCGCGGTAATCGCGATAATCGCGAGTCTCTCTTTCTGCTCGTTATCGCCGCGACATTCTCTAATTACAGGCTCGTATTTGCCCGAGTAATTAATCGATAAAAGACGTTTGAAACGCGTTTATCGTCGGATCGGGGCTTTATCGCGTCCTCGACGTAGGAATAAACGTATCGTACTGGCGATGCAAGCAGCTTGCGATGGAAATGTTCCTCTCGACCCCGATAGTCGAATCAAAAATTCAGCCACGATAAGAGCCAGTCCATGGACAAAGAAGTTGTCGAAGCGAGCTCCGACCAAACTCCTAACGAGAGAACATACGAACGAGGGGAGAGTTCAGGCTCGAGGGAAAGCCCCATTTGCGACCATTTGCAAATTTTTCCTTATTTTCCAGCTTCTTTCCCCCCTGGAAATCACTCTTTCGAACTCTGGATATTTTGAAAATTACCAAAGTCCTATTTTACGATTTTCCCTACTTTCTAGTATTAATTTGTACTATGAATTATTTCGGCTTATTTACCGTGTTACGCGTTATTTCATATTAATCCCTCGCGATTACCATATTCGCGCGAATACTAAACCTATCAGGGTTTCTATAATAATTTTTAAACTTCCGATTCGAAATTTAGTACTCGTTATTATCGCTTCGGTTATTCGATTTCTTTTCCGATATATCGAGCATCTTCTCTTACTCGGTTTTCTTTCAAAATTTCTACTCTAATCCCGGTACTAATTTCGATTTCACGCGAGATTTCCTTCCCAAGAGCGCAAGTTCTCCCGTGACAAGAGAACGCGGAAATTGCCGGCCGATTTTCGCAAAACAATTCGATGCCGGAATCTGATAATTACTCGCGGAAATTCGGAGGAATAAAACAAGGCGAGATACACGGATAAAACGCGCGTTTCAGGAAAGTTGGTTATAATTGTTAACGGTTTGACGAGCGTTTGTTCCGACGTCGTTATAGGCGAGTTCTATCCCCGGGATTAATTTCAAGTTAATCAATTGAAACGCGGCAAACTCTCGCCAACGATCGTTTACTATTCCGATACCTTCCCTCCGTTTTTCCCCCTTTTCCCCTTTTTCTCGATTCCGCGAGAGTCGCGGGAAGTAAAGACGCGCGAAACGAAGAGAAGAAAGACAGTGAGAGGAAAGATTAGCTCACCGAGCAGATAATGCCGTATCCATTTTTTCTTGGGCGGGGGCGGCATCCAGCTGCGCACCGGTTCGTCGTTGACGACCACGTCGATTATACCGACAACCTGCGTCGGCATCAGACTATTCGCGTCTCTCAGCCCGTTTACATTGTTATTCGTCTCGTTACCGACGTCGATCGCACGCTGCGTTCCCGCAGCTTTAACCGCGTTCAAATTCATACGAGGTTGGACCGCCGCTGTGCCATCCGAGACCAGCAGAACTCCCATGTTCCCGATCACGATCACTCGATCTCGCTCCTCCGCGACGTCGCACGCGTCGGGCAAAATAATCCGAAACGAAAATGAAGAAAAGAAAAAAAAAAGAAAAAAAAAGAAAGAAAAAGAAGAAAAGAAAATTCCGAGCACACGTTCTAGAGAGTTGCACACATACACTGGTTCACACTTGGCCGATTCTCCGCCTCTCTTCCCGAGTCTGTCCGCAGCTCTCAGCACGTCCGAGGAACGGTTTCTATATCCATTTGCTATCCTCTCGGGCAATTTTCTACTCTATAATCCCAGATCGTCGGCGATGCTCGTAAGACCCGTGAATTTGCGATCGGGACAATAGCGAGATCGCGTTTCCTTCTGCCCCGGCACCCTCCGCCCCCAGGAGCGCAAGAACCTCGGCGAAGGCACGTCGAGTGGAGGCCGGAAGATTGCACGAACCGGACGAGAAGAAATACTGCACAGCACGGCGTAATTACCACGATAGCTTTCCAATATAGAGGGCAACGCTTGGCAACTTTCTTCGATAGGAACTTCGATCGGTATGCACACGGTCACGCGCCGCGGAGCCTCCCCTTAACGACGAGCACGCGTTTTTCTCTCTGCCGGAATACCGGCGTGCAGCGGAGGCAGCAGCGGAGGCAGCAGCAACAGCAGCAACAGCGGTCGCGTACGAGGTAGGTAGGTGGATAGAAGATAGACACGCGTGGTCGGCCGGCGACGCGTCCGGGACGCGTCGAACGGAGCGGTCGATCGAAAAGAAGTGGAAACGACCGGGATTGCGAAGCGCGTGGAAAAAGAGAGAGGAGGGCTGCGTCACAGTTTCACACCGAGGGAGGGAGCGGTTACGACGAGCGAATACGACGAGGTCGCTGTTTATACCGGCAGGAAAAAATCCCAACTTTCGAAACACTCTCGACGCACGGTGCGCGTGTCTCGCCTCTGACGGAACCCCGGTGGGCCCTCTGCGAGCGCTCGACAGTCGTCCAGCACGGTGTCCCCTTCGACATGGAAATCCTTTACACCGATGTCTATCGTCTCGACGTCTCAGAAATTTCCAGCCTCCTGTAATCTCATCTCTTACGATTATACGCCGGGCTCTGGCTCTTCGTTGCGGCTATACGGCGTAATTACAGCTAACACCGGCATTCGATTTCTTTTTCGTTCATCGATCGAGAATCCTGAGGAACAACGATTCCTCCAGACAAAGAGATATATTTCTAGAACTGTGACTCTCGTGAGGAAATCGGAAGACACTATATCTGAGATCGTAACGCGGCTACGCTTTTCTCGTTCCACGGGATCCCACTTGTGTAATCGCGAGTGATAAAGCGGCGTCTCGAGTATCGGTGTGTGTGCGTGTGCTGCAACGACGCGCAACCTCGACCAGCGACCTTTTGCGCGTATCTAACAGCCGGTTCCCGGCTTCTCGCGTGCTCGACTCCTCTAAATCGGATCCTAACGATAGGTGATTCGAGCGGTAGGAACTGCGATACCGATTGGCGAGTCTCGATTTCCCGCGTGCGTCAGACGACCGATCTACGGTCGATAAGCGAACCGCGCGTATGCAAAGCGCGTACTCGATCGAAATAACGAAACGACCGATCACTCGAACCGATCGTGCGTGCGCGCTGATAATTCGCTAAACGAAGGAAACTCGTAACCGCGTGAGTCGCGGGTGCCGACTGAAGTCTAAACGTAAGTGCCACCGCCTCCAACCTGAGGATGACGATCCCCTGCTCCCTTACCCCACCTCAGCGGCCCGTGCACGCCGCCAGTGGCGACGGCGGCAGCGACGCCGACCAATCTCCTCTCGACCCTCCACCGCCGCCGCCACCGCCACCACCGCTGCCGCCGCCGCCGCCGCTTTCCGTGACATCTCCGTTCGCGCGAGAGCTGCCTCCAGTCACCCGCGACACTCTGTCCTTGTCGCCCGAGGGCAGGCTGTCTGTCTCGCTCCGTCTCTCTCTCTCTCTCCCTCTCTCTTCCATATATACGTGTGTACATATATATATATATATATATGCGTACTTGCGTTCCGCGACGTGTTGAAACTCGAAACGACTAGCCGCGAAATCGCGTGTACGTTTCGAAACGTAATCGGAGCGAAAGAGAATCGTTAGATATAAAAAAAATTTGGAGAGGGGCAGGAGAGAGAGAGAGAGAGAGGGAGAAGGCCGTTTGGATTGAGTCGTTGGACTTCGCAGAGCTCCTTTATCTCCGTGTTCGGTAACTGTTACTCGTTTTTCCGTGTTCGTTGGCACCGCGAATGGCCGGGCTTAGAGACACGATGCCTCGTCACGTAGAGAAACTGGATCCTCGTCGATCGGCGACAGGTTAGGAATCGAAGGCAGTCGCGTGGAATTGCTCCGAGTCGGTGAATTATGCATGATCGCCGTAATAGGAAGGACAATCGATCGGTTAGTTAAAACGGCGTACGCGTGTTCGTGTATGTGCGTTCGCAGTGGCGAAAAAAAAAACAGTTATCGTACGCTCTGAATTTTGTAGTTAAAAATACACGAGCCGCTCGACCGCGAGGACAAGCGCGTATAACGTGCACACGCGTTCGATCGCGGTCGATCGTGCCACTGAATCATCGTTTCGCGTTTTCCATTCGCGTCGCTTTGTACCTTTTCACGAATTCACGCGAGGGTTTCGAAATTCCTTTTTCGACACACTTACCGTCGATAATGAGCATCTTCTCCTCGCAGAATAAGTCATCTTGCTCTGTACGTTCCCTCTTTAATTTGGCACCTGGAAGAAAAGAAGAAACGTATTACGACGCGTAATTACTCGATCGTAAAATTCGAAAGGAGAAAAGAAATCCGATATCTTTATAGGTTAGGAAATGTTCAGAGTTGGGAATCGTCGATATTTCGAAGCGTTTTCCAGAAATCGAAAAGCATGCTATTCGAGAAGGCATTCCCGTTTCCCTTTTCACCCTCAATGCGCAATGTCACCGATAAACGCGACAGCATGCGACGAAGAGGAAAACAGTGGTTAGCGGCGGGGGCAACGAAGCGCAACACGTCACCGTTCCCAGTTGCGCTTCCATCGCATTGCTACTCCTGATCCTTGAAATTTCTTCGACGCATCTCGCCGTGGTGTATCCGTGGTTGAATCCACAGGTCGATAAGGTATGAAAAATTGAAAGAGGCGCGTCTCCACGTGCTAGGACGGTGGGGATGGGCGAGAATATTCCCCTAGGTCGGCAGGGTGAGCGGTAAGGATAGGTGGCGCGGTGGTGGGGAGAAATGAAAACGCCGGGGAGCACCGTCTAGTTTTATCTCTCTCGCTCTCTCTTTCACCGGGTCAGCCGAGGAGTCGGCAACGTCGCAATTGATCAGGACGCCACGCGGCCGGACACGCGTGGTGGGGGTTTGCCGGGGACAAGGCGCATGCGCACTTGAGCGACTCATTTGCCCGCGTGCTCGTCCGCCGACGACACAGTGCACCGCTACTGCGTTCTGCTCCGCTTTACTTTGCCCTTATTTACTCCGTTCTTCTAATCTAACCTAGTTCGTTTTGTCCCAATCTATTCGATCCGTGATCCAATCCGTTCTTCTCCCTCTCTCTCGTCCCTCTACGCGTCCTACCGGTGATAAACGGGCGACTGTCACCCTTCTAAAAATTACAACCTCTTCGCTGGCCTATACTTTTATGCCGCGCAATCTGTCCTCCCGTACTTTCGTCCTCTATTTTCCCCCCACCGCGCTGCGGACACAAACCGAGACAGCTAATCTCCGCGTATCTGATCAGTGCGAATGTCTCTCTCGACAGTAACGACCAGTGGGTTACGAGCGCCTCTACGACAGTTTACAGAACAACGTACAACGCACACCGACCCTGATGCTGTGCGGTAGGAGTGGTTAGTAATGGTGTAGCGGTCGATCACACGCCTAGAGTCCTGGGGAATAGTCGAGCAGTGCGACACCGATCTTAATACCGATTACACCTCGGCACGCACCGCGAAAAACTTTTCAAAACTGTTACGCGATGCGAAATCGTTTACTTGGAAACGATGCGTAACACGTACATAGGAAATCCTTAAAAGAGAACGCGCTGCGTAACGCGTCGAGAGAAGGAAAACGAACGTTGGTGAAACTTCATCGAGTTTGAATCGATTACCAGCAACCATGGTGGAAAATTAAATCGCTCCAACATACCCATGGAACTACTACTCCCTCTACGATTTACGCTTCGCACGCCCATCGTGCTAAACACGCGCACGCTACGTGTGTTATGAAGTTGTAAAGCTGAATTGTAAAGCATCATTTAAGTACACGATAGACAGACTTAAATTATCGTTTAACGCGCATTGCCTGTTATATCACGCACCACCGTGCCAGTGAGCACGCGCAACGCGGTAACAGACCGGATGCGCGGAGATAGGGAGCGAATTACAACGTTTAAATCATCCGTATTACGATCGAGTTCGTGTGCAAGACCGGTACTACTCGCGATTTTCCACTTCATAAGTCGCCATTAAACCGACCAACCATCCGCTCTTCTTTTATAAATTTTCACCCGTTGGAACTATCCGACGAACCGAATTATTGCCTGAGAAAATCCAACGATCCGCTTTTTTCCTAAAAGAAACTACGTTTTTCCGAAACGTGACGAGAGAGGAGAAAAATGTAACGGTAGTATTTATCGAGGAAAAAAAATCGTGTGTTGGGAAGAAATTCATTTCAACGCGCATTTATCCAATCATGAAAAAGTTTGCTCGATAATGTCGCCGGTGAAAGAATGAAGCCGCGAGGATAAAATCGAGGTATACCATCGGACGAGCATTTTCCCGTCTCCTGTCGCATTTCAACCGTGCGCACAGAGGCGTGACCGTGAAAACAAGGGATCGATCTCCCGATACGTGTGTGTATTCACCTTCCTTTAAGGTTTCATCACGACCCACGGGGAAAATAGTCCAACGCGTCACCATTGCATGCGCTCCTACGCCCCCTCGTGTCTCACTCGTGTTCCTCGATAGCGGCGCGAAAAGCCTCCTATTCCTTCCAAACGGTTAGCTATCTAAACCCAGACCCTCAATCCCTGTACATACCGCGTACGAAATAAGTTTCTAGATAGGATAGATAGATCGAAGACGATTTATATTCCGTTTAAGAGCACGGTATAGATAATGATCCGCGTGGCACAGGAGTTTAAATTGCGTTTACCCGCTCACCTGACACGCGCACGAAGCCACGAAACGGGAAGATCGATCTGACCTGTATCGTATGTATTTTTTTTGCCTGCCTTCCTTCCTTCCGCGGACGTACAATGCACCTCGCGTGGCTACCTACGCCCCCTCCTCTAGACCCTTCCCCCTCCCCAGGCACCGATGGCCAGTGTCCAGTGCGTGCTCCTATGTACCGTGTGCAGCAGCGTGCGCAGCGGCAGCGCACACGCTCGGGAATTGCCGGTGATCGTAACGAACCGCGCGATAAATCAGATGCGTGCGCGATAACGATGGAAAAAGCCGCATGGGTAGCGCGCGAGCGAGACGGAGAGACAAGGTGACACCGATACGCGCGAAACGAGAAAAGAGGGAGAGAGACGGGAATGGAGAAAGACGGAGGCACAAAAGGATAGACGAGTCGTGGATTGAAGTGAAAAAGAAGGGGAACGAGTGCAAAGAGACGAAAAGATAAAGGGAAAGCGCGGTAGGAAGAGAGAAGGCGGTCGCGCGCTGGCAAACATAAACGGCCGTGCGCGAGTAGGTGGCGCGCTCGTGAATGAAGCACAAAAGCTGTCGTAGTTTCTAGAGTCAGTGACCGGGGGTCCTCTGACTTCCCACTCCGCCTTAGTGTATCCAGGTTCGTTCCTACCATCGTCACCGTAGCACCACGGTCACCATCGTCACTCCTCCAAACGCGATATCGCCTACCCCCACCTCTCTAATCCACCATCGCCTCCCCTCCACCGCGCTCCGCCGCCGGCTCCGCGGCACAACGCTCGCTCCCCGCAGTTCCCCGCTGCACGCTAACGTGTACCCTTCTCTACATGCGCTCCCACCTAAGCCTAACTTCCGCCACCCTTTGCTCGTGCCTCTTTGCCTTTATACGTGCCTAGTGGTCTCTCTACGTGCGCGTTTCTGATGGCTGCTTCGCGTTGGATCGACGACCAGAGGGGAACCCGATGCATACGGTCAACTAAATCGCTCGCCTTCCCATCCCCTCTCCACCCTTTCTCTCTCTCTTCTTTTACCTTCTCCTGACTTTTCAACCTTCTATCTCCTTGAAACTTGTAAACACTTCGCCTGGCTGCGCTTGTCAATCGGTGATACACTTTCACGCGTCGATATTAAAACCTTCGACTTCAACGTCCTCGCGAGATAATGCTTAATCAATCCGCTCGCGGAACGATAACTCCAACGGCGAGGGAAACGCGTAAGAAACGGAATCGGAGCCGGTGCGTGTTCGTGAACTTCGAAATTCCGTTATCGCACGCCGATTAGAAGAGGCGGTTTGGCGAAAGGCGATCCAACAAATCCGCGGTAATAACCGAGGCGAGGTTCTCTCGTCGTGGAGCACCACAGTTCGTACTAGTTGCCGGAACTACTGGTTCACCTCGGCGATGATCGTACTATAACTCGCAATCGACCACGCTAGCTCCGCGACTTTTTCCACCAGCTTTATCGCCGCGAATCGTCCGACTCTGCCAAAGTCAATGTAATCGTAGAGAAAGAGACCGATGGCATAGTGGCGTGCACCGCGCGTTTCGTGCTCGCCGAGAACTCTTTCGCGTGTGCTAAGACTCGCTTTACAGGATCGGCCGGTTGAGTCATTGACCTGGGAAAACGCGGGAATCAAAGGGACACGACGATGGTACCCCTCGAGCGATCGAACCAACACTTTTGCGATTATTATCGCGTCGAGCAGCTACCTCTAACGTGTCTTCGTTACCCCTAGACGCATCGCCTATGCTTATTAGAGAAACGAAGCCAAACTAACTGACCTTCCATAGAGACGGACGGATAATTCGAATAGAATGTAGGAGAAATTCGTGCACGGATTTTGAAGCATTTTTTATGGAACTTTCCACTCTGCGCCACGTAAACGACCGTCAACGTGTCTGAGAATCACTGTTGCGAGGGAAATCATACCTAATTTGGAGGCGGTGAACGCGTGGGTCATCGCGTGCTATTCGCATGTACACTGCAGTGTTTCTCATTTCGCGCGAAATCCTTTTCTCCTTATTTTCTACTTTGCGATCCAAACATTGTCAATCGTTCCTCACGGTACTGTTTCAACGCGAATATTCGTAAACATAAATACGAAAAGCAAATTTTGAATTTCTAACGATTTAAGATCGATAGGTAATACGTGTGTAACGAACGATGAAGTACGAACGCCGACTTAATTTTTATGCGACGGATTTTCAGATGCGATCGCCAAATTCACCATTATTTTTCGAGTATACAAATGTTTGGCTATAAACTGTCACCGAGATAATTTGCCATAACGATAACGTTTATTGAGTGCACTGCGAATACCGTAATCTCGCAACATACAAACAACTGGCTCGATTTACATTGATGCGACATGGAAAGTTCAGATATAGTTATCGAAAGAAGTTAACATTAAAAATTATCGAATCTTCAGAAATTGTTATGTACATTCGTAAATTAATAAAGAAGAATTAAAAAAAAAACCGAGTGTTTTCGCGCTCGCGTATTCTTGCAATAACCTTCAAATTTGACCGCCCGTTTGAAATATGATTTCGCCGGAATGCGAATTTGGTAACGTCATATGTTCCCGCATTGAATAAACGTTGAGGCGGTGGAAGATTTTGAGAACGCAATTCGGTGCGTTAAGCTATTCTACATATTCATACGCATCGTGAACGGTGGCCGAAAAGTGGCGCGTGGTACTCACCACGTGGCTCGTTGGAGTTGTGATGGTTGGAGTGGGGAGCTACAGCGAGCGGATGATCGGAGGAGGAGGAAGAGCTGCTTGCGAGGCGCTCCCTCTTTTTCTCCTGCTGCTCGACGAACCGCGCTGCTTCCAGCAACGTTTCCAGGCTCATCCTGACGTTGCCGATTCGCTCCACGACGAGCTCCGTTCCTCTTTAAGATCCTTTGGGAGATTGAGACTCTGCGATCGGACCGTCGATTCCCGTCGCCGGCTGCCGAGGACGAAGAAGTCGAGAGCCCGTTCTCGTGTCTCAACCCTCCTCTTTTTCTGCTGCTGCCAGCCGCGGGTGGCAATCTGCGAACAAAAAGAGAAAACGATTTAGTTATGCTCGAAATGCAGCGGAACACAGTGTCACTGTAGGGAGAAGGATGGAGGAACGTAGTAATCCGTCGGTTCTTAATTCGTCGACCTTGATAAACGCGAGAAGAACGATCGTAATAACGTAAATACTCGATGAGATTTAATCGTTTGCACTTTATCTAACGATCGACGCACGATACAACGAAAAAATAAAGAAAAACCGATTAATGATACACGACACAAGTGCAAACTGTTACCGTGAAGAAAACACACATGTCACACCTCATTTGCCTTACGGGCACACAACCTCGTATTGTTCCATGTTCCCAACTACATGATTGCTTCTTTTCTCGTAATGTTTGAAACTTTGTTGTTCGATAATATTATTAGCTTGTTCGAACCGAGCTGCAGACGGTACGGACACGACCGGTGTCTGAGTATACGTCACGTGACGTACGCGTGACGTAACGCAGTCGCGCGGGAAGCTTTATCCCCTCCCACGTACCGTCTTCGTAATACCACACGGAGAAGATGCGCAAGCGCAACGTGCGCTTTCCTGGAGCACAGAGCATTAGCACGCATCTTGAGTTCCGATCGCTGGAAACAATCTAACAGTCAAAAAAGAAAATAAGGCGTAGAAATATCAAATACTATTTATGAAATATATCTAGCTATTTACAGTTTCGACACCTGATTCCAAATATACGTTTACAAAAATTGTTTTCCACGCTGAGAAAGTGTTGGAACAAATGTAATAAAAAATACAAAGAAATATATTAACCGATATACTTTTCAAAATTATGTACGACGTCAAACCGAAAATAATTCAATACAGAAACGATAAAATTAATAAATCGGTATATCGGACTCTTTCTCCAATTTTTTCTTTTTCTTTTCCCCCATTTGATATTATTTAACCGTTATACGCATTAACGGAATCGACACATTATTTTGAAATAAATGAAAGGAATAAAAATTAAAAATTCTATAAATAGATAAAAAGTTAAAAACTCGAAAACTGAAAATTCAAAAATAGTTCGATTAAATCAAGCGTAACTTATACCATTGTAATATTTGTACGCTAATTAACAAAAAAATTATATCAAATATAAAAGTAAGACATGTACTTTTTTTTTTGAGGCGTCGTCGCATTTTGGCGAGTCAGATTAGCTTGACTGTTCCTGTCATGTAGCATCGAAAGCAGAAACGAGAGTCGTTACGTGGCGTTGGTAGGCGCAAAAGCGTATTCGCAAATACGAGCATGTACGGTGTATAGAGTGTCGGCTGCGCAGTCCGAGAAATCAGTGAGCGAAGAAAAAAGGTTCACGAGACAGAGGCGGGAAAGGCGAAGCAGAGAAACGAGGTTCCGCCGCTGATTTGAAAAGTAGATATATCCCGGGCAACGTAATCGCGAAAGCGTACCACGATCACGAGCGGGCACAATTGCATTCCATAGTAGGCGCAACCATGCAAAAATAGGAAAGAAGAACGATGCACTGTGTCGAGTTGGTAAAAGAGAGGCTGTCTGGAAGTGTACGAAAAGTCAAGAAGCGTGCCGTAGTCCAAACGAGCTCCTTAAACTGACAAAGCGACACACACGTTAGACGGGCGACGCACGCACCGTTGACCAATAGGAGCTTGCGATAATGTGACGTCATGAGTTGAAGTACCATGCGATTGGCTGGGTCTATTATGGCACGGAAAACACGCCACGCAACCACCTATACACATGTTAATTAAATAGGCGATAGTCCTGACGAGATAATGTTCCGTGGAGGCTTTTAAACGGGCGTGGTAACGCCAGAAACGCATGGAAAATAATCAGGAACTTACAGGTACGCCACGACTGTATTCCGGTCACAATGGAAACACGCTGGAACCCACTTTCACGGTAGAAATCAATTTCTTGCGAGAATTTCTGCGATATTTCTGCTGTCAAACATGCGACACATGCGGAAAATCACGAGGCACTCGTAAATTTTTTAACAGCGGACGATCTCGCGACGTTTTACAATACACGACGGTTATAACCTGATCGATCTAGCGCGTGGCAGAAACATTTTACAAGTGCTAACCACTGCGCATCAACAGCCATGCTTGCTTGGCCACGATTCACGTGTCTGGGGTCCGAGGTATAGACCAATCAAAGCGCGGTTCATGACGTCACCTGGCTGTATCGACCAATGAACGCAGCCCATGTGACGCAGCACTCCGCTGGGCGTGTAAGAGAAGTGTCGAGCTGCTGTATATTGCTCGTTAGTTGGTGCACTTTTTTCGCGATTTTCTCAAGTTTTCTTCGGTACCATTGCGAAAAAGATATCAAATCAAGATCTCGGAGCCAACCGATATCTTTTACGAGCAGGCTTACCTTCCGGTGGACGCCAGAACGGACGAATATCGCGACAATCGTACACAGCACACCCGACACCCGGCTCGCCCGGGCAAACACTCACTCCGATCTCGGCGGCGTCACCCTCTGCCACCTTTTGTCACGTTCCTTCTCTGTCACATGGATCGGACCTCTACGCTGTTGCCACTTCTACGATATAGAAACATACAGTTCATTGTTTACTTTTGCGCGCGCGCCAAAACCACGTCCCGTCACTTTTTCTGAAACCAATTCACTTAATTTCTCTTAAATTTCTTTAAATTTACACACAATATGAATTTAATATACACTTTATGATTTCTATGATATAATAAAGATTATTATACTATTTTGTTAAGTACCTACTTAAACTAAAAAAATTTATATATACCTAAATAAATAAATTTAATACAAACAAAGATTATTTTATAAGTTTTAACAGTAAGTATACGATCCGCTTTCGTTATATGCAAAATTTGCTACTACAAAATATATTCCATAAATATATAAAGCTTGTAATACATAAAGTTTAACAAAAATAATAATTATTTAAAAAAGAATACTGTTTTGATACTATGTAACATGCTATATATACCTACTTTTGATGACATTAATGTAAAAAATAACATTTTCAAGCAATATATATCTTTAGAAATAAATAAATCAAGGAAATTTGTAATAATTAAATTTTAAAAAGTATAAACGATTAAAAATAAATATCAAATGCAGAATAATTACTAGAAACGTACAAAATATAATCCTGTAATTAACAATAAAATTTTAATTTATGTTGTAAGTAATTCTAACCATTTTCTAATAGAGAGGAATAAAATATAAAGTATCAAATATTACTAAAAATATTTTACTTTATACACATTTTGCACAAAATATATATGCTATATTTTGATATAGTAATATAATTGTAGAATTTTACATATATTTAATTATTACCTGTGACCTTTTAAATAACAAAATTCAATTTACTACAAGTTGCTTCAAATTATTAAGAAGTAGGTAATTTTATTCTCTTCCATGAAAAATTAATTTTATACATTATTTTTTATAATTTATAATCTAAAACAAATTCAGCAGTACAAAATATGACTAGAATTTGCACAAAATATTATATACTACAATCTACATACAGATCTTAGTAAATAATATTACTATGGAATACGTTTCTTGTTACAAATATGAAGACATACATTTTGTTTTCCTATTGATTTTTCTATACCTTTTACTGCAAATATATTCTTGATTAATTTTTGGAACATTTTTTCATTTTTTTGTATTAAATTTGAAAATAACTTTTATACATTTGTATTGTAAATATTCCAATTTACATTTCTTATTAGAAATACCATATTAAATATTTAAGAATCAAGAATATACTACAGTACAAATGTTAATACAAACTTAATTTTGTATGAGTTGCTGATTTGTAATAAATTATATTGGTGTTATTTACAGAACTATTGAATACATTTCATAAAAACGTACAAACATAATAGAGCCATGGAACAGAATATATTGTATTATTATGTTTGTACGTATCAGCACCGTCATTTGTAACCAACATACAATCAGTTTAAGTCTTATTTTCTTTTTTAGCACATATAAGAATTTGTTTAAACCTATTCAATATTTGAATTAAGTTATTTTTTATATCATGCTACGAAAAGAACGAAAAATACTGTAAAGAACATTATTACAGATTTAAACAAAAAAATTCAAAATATAGTTTTATAAACTGTTTTCAATGTAATACTTTTTCTAAAATACACTCTAAGGGTGTGATACTAAAAATATTATTCATATTTTTCACATATTACGTCTAATTTATATTTGTTGAGCATCACTATATTTTTATCCTAAAAACAAATAGTATCCATATCTATATTCCACAGAAGAAATTTAAAAATTAAATAACCCAATTATTTCTTTAAAGTAACACTTAATATGAAACGTTATATGATTTACCTCATGATACTGCAAATTCAATAATAAGTCTACAAATACTTCATAGTTATCATAAAGATTGTTTAAACAATTACTCGTAATACAGCCAAAATCAAAGAAAAGCTTTATATGTGTTTCACCCTTTTATGTAAATTATTTATTTTTTCATGTTTTCTTATTGAATATCTTTTTTTAGATACTGTAAATGTCAACTAACATAAGAAATAACAATTTTAACTAGATAATGCTTTATTAAAGCATTGGTTATCTGCTCAAATTACTAACATAAAGATGTTTAAGTTCTGTCTTTGGCGTATTTTCAAAAAGAGCAGCACGATTTTGTCCTTCTCCTTTCTTTACCCAATGGCCATAAACTCTGAATGCACAACCATCAATGACCTACAACAAAAGTAATGTAAATGTTATTTCCTTAATCTGTGGGCTAAATAAGTATAAAAAAAATAGACTTAAATAAGGAATAATATTTATTTAAAGAAACATTTTTAAAAGAGGAGACAATACCTTCCGCAAAATTTTAATTCTGTAAGGGTCAGTGCATGCTACTTGAGTTGAAAGAGGTTCAGGTGTATTGTGAAGTCGCTTGATACGAACAACTGCGCGAACACAAATAATTGCTAACTGGAACCGTTTTCTCGCATTAAAGGATTTTGCCTTTAATTCCTGTACAAAATATAAGAAATGATAAAAATTCCAAAAATGTTTCAAATTAATATATAATTAGACATTTCTATTATATGATGTACTGAAACAAAAACATTATTAAACATAGTAATAACACATGTTAACAAACACATATATATGTTGTGATAGTAGAAAGATAGTATTAAGATGCAAAATAATGAAATGACATATAAAACAAAATACTAACCAGCTTTAAGAAATTAATATCATTTTAATCTTCTCAAACAAGAAAATGAAGAGTGAATGATTAACATTATGATCTTTACAAATATCACAAAAAGAGATAGACAATGAAAAAAGAAACTAATATACACATACATAAAGCTTCAAACATTGTGTTTTTATAGTAATTCTTCAGTATTACATGCAAATATTAAAATTTATTTTCACTCGTTATTATTTGAGTTATTTTTTATCACTGATTTATTTTAAATGAATATTTGCATACTCGTATTATACTTTTTATGGGATATTACAATCAGTCAGTTATGCATAATTATAACCGATATGGGTAAATTTATACTTGTTGCTTCTCAAATATATAGATGAAATACATTATGCTTTGCTGAAATAATATATTGCACAAACAGAAATAAAAACAAAATAAAATAAATCATTTCAAATTTTAATATTAATAAAAATAAAAATGTTAATTGTTATATATGTATTGCATATATAAAAATTATAGTCAAAAGAACTCACATTTAGTGGCAAACAAAATAAAAAGAAAAATAATTTACCAAAGCTAACTGAGATATCCTACTCAGACGCCGCGAATTAGATGATAGCGAACGTTTTAAAGGAGCGATGTCTTGATCCCATAGCTGCAATTCCAATAATTTTCCATTTATCATGATACTATGACCTTATTTTGTTTTAAGAAAACTACTTCCAAATTAGTTATATACATAATTTATTAAATTAATATTAAACAAATATTTGTATAACAATGTTTGATATTTTATAAAAGCATGTATATTTCATTGTGAACATGGCAAGTTGAACACATAAAGCAAACAAATAAAAACATAAAAATATGAATATAATACATTTATTTCAAATGCATAGAATAATAAATATTTTAAGCATATTCTATTTCTTTTGCTTGAATTTTTCTATGTCGTATTACAGATATTTTACACTAAAATACTTACCACAGTGTGGAAAAACGAATGCTCCAACGCTTCTTTGATACTAATTCTCTTCTTGGGGTCAATAACTAATAATTTTCTGATCAGATCTTTGGGGGCTTCTGAAAATGTAATAAAAATTTAACTTTTATATACATATAAAAAGATTATAATTTAAGAAACTATCAATATATAAAAAACGTACATGTAATTGCATCTTACTCATTTAGGAAAAGAATGTGCATCATGTTCAAAGATTTGTTAGTAACAACTCTTACCTTTCATATATTTTCCATACATGAAGCAGCTCACACCGAGATGATCTACCTTTGATAGATGATTACTCAAGATGATAATATTTTTGTGATATTATCATGGATTTTAATTCATGCTTGTGCATCATTACAATTCAATGACAAAAGCTCCCACCTAAAATTTTATGTCTGTGTCTTGCACACAGGTTTGAAAACTTTGCGGATATTTGACTATTGAATAACACTGTACTAGCTTTGACTTTTTAAAAAACTATTCTATAGTTGTTTGTCTTATTACAATAATTATGTTTCCAATTGTAAGTAAAACAAATTATAAAAAAAAGAGCAGTAAAAATATATAATACATAAAATAATTTCACAGAAATGTATATACATTTTTATTACTAAAGCGGAGCAATATCGTTTCCACATATCATTTAATATTTACTATGTGATTAATAACATTTATCTTTTGCAACAATCAAATCAAAATAAAATTCTCTGAAAATGATGCAGACAAACACATGCATTATGTTAATAAAGCACAAATTTACTCCGCATGCCACAAGAAACAATATTTTTCTACTTTTTTTCAAACATAAATTGTTATTTTTTGTAAAACATTTGGTTTTAATAAACAATCATAGTTACCTGTTATGTCTGCCCATTCTGGGGATGTAAATGAATATTTTCCTTCCATAATATTTCTAAGCATAACCATTTGTTTTCTGTGCCAAAAAGGAGGACAACCAACTAACAATGTAAACATAATTACTCCACAGGCCCATCTACAAAGAAACAAATATGAGTAATAATTTTCTCCTTTATTGAGATAGCTAATATTATTACCATTGTATTCCTTTGTATATATATAATGTTTTATTAACTTACATGTCAACTTCACTCCCATAACCTTCTGCATTTTCAAACATATTACACTTTAGCACTTCTGGTGCTAAGTAACCAGGAGTACCACAAAGATCTAAAAAAAATATTCATAGTAAATATCTGTAACTTATACAACTATTTTATAAGAAAACACATACCATATAATTTATCTCCAGTTTTCAATACTCTAGCAAACCCAAAGTCAGTTATTTTTACATTTAAATTATCATCAAGTAATATATTTTCTGGCTTTAAATCTCTATGCACTATTCCTTGGTTATGTACATGCTGAACACCTTCGAAAACTTGTCTCATAATATAACGTGTCTTTTTTTCAGAGAGAGTAACAACAGATGTGAGGTAGTCAAATAGTTCACCATTTTTACAGATTTCAAAAATTAAAAATATGAATGTACTAGATTCAAAGACATCATGTAACTCAACTGAAAAAGTAAACATACACATTTTTTAACGAACAATTACTAGTATTTTTGATAGAAAAGAAAACTTTATTTACAAAACAATTTTTTCCTTACTAATATAAGGATGGCCAGCTACTCTACGGAGAATTTGTACTTCCTGTAATGTAGCATCCTTCATAGTATGTCCATCCTCGTTAGTTTCATTACTAATATCTATAATTTTAGCTGCATACTCTATACCTGTTTCTTTTTCTATACATCTTCTCACAGTAGAAGATATTCCTCTGTAAATATTAATGTACTAATTAAAAGATATTTATTCGTAGTTTATAATAAATATAAAATATTTTAAAAATAAATTTTCTATAAAATGACGAAATATAAATGTATTGTTGCAATGTTCTATCGTATTTATTTATGCACAATGAATTTGTATACTAAAATTGTCATTAACGTTATATAAATAACTTTCATATAATAATTATAATATATAATTGCATTATAATAATGCACACCCTAGTACAATCAATACAAGGGAATTCTTAATAAATCTTTTAAAACAATGCAAGAAGCTAATGTTTGACAAAAACAAACATTTCATTTTCGTAATGCACATCATTGCTATTGTAATCCGTACGTCAAATTACCATTTCAAAGTTTTATACATTTCATTATTCCATACATATAGAAGAAACTATCGTGATTAAATAAAATATATTTAATTTTGTCAAATTATATAATTACGCAGGTTAATTCGTCGTTATTCAGAAACTGTAAATTTGTCGATTCGTTTATTGTGTTCGCAATGTATCAGGATCTAATAATATAAGTACGAACATATCTATCATACGCGCGTACTTGCTAAACAAATAAAAATAGTATACTGTTTCTTTTTCACGTTGAAATATCACGTGACGAACCTTCCAAGGATTTCTTTGGGTTCGTATTTCGCATAGAATCCCTTGGCCGCATCCTTGTCCGGTAAGAGGTCGTCTCCTTCGTCTTTTGCCATCTTACGCGCAATATTTCTTTCATATGAATCACATTAATAGCCACCGTGTAGATAGCACATGTTCCTTTAATTTGAAAGGAACAGGTTCAAATAGATAGTTCTTCCACCCGACGCGATTGTCATATTACGAGTTTATTCCAGAGCGTCACGGTGGATACGCGCTACATTCTAAAAAATATTAACAAAGAGATCACTGATCACCGTACACCGATAATGGCTACGATAGATCCTCGGCCAAACGAAGAAAACACATGAACACATAAGCACTGTGAAAGGAACAATGGCGATAGCCAATATAAAGTAACGAATGAAGAGGGCTCTGACGGTGCAACGAGGAAAATGCCGACTTGCCGAGCGTGAAAGGGAAAACAGTAAGTAGCAATCTATTATCGGACTAAAATTGCTGTTCCAAGGTGTGCATATATTATATATCGCATTCATCTATACTCTACGATGAACATATGTATACGTCATGTGACTTTGGCAGTTTACTATTTTAAATAATACGACTGTTACGATTGAGATACCTATAATACCATGAATATTTTTTTAAATACGATTCCAAAATGTATTTAATTGCATAAATTAATTTCTTGCAGAAATTTAATGGTATTTCAGAACCCATTAGTCACATAAATATTAATATATAAATATGACATGGTAAATGAAAAGCCACATTTTAGTGAGTTTATATATTCTGATATAAAAGTAACATTGTAAGGAGCAAAGGAATGGTTCCATTTTAAATTCTTTAATTCTACATTAGTAGGGTACCGTGTTAACCTCTCGAATATGTATCTAAAAGAACAAAAATATTTCAATATGTATTAATGATATATACATGGTGTGAACACAAATAGAAGCCACTGCTACCTCGCCTGTTCCTCGCAGTCTTGCTCTCAACGTTGAGCGTTATTGTATTGTTCAGATGATGCATCCATTCCTTTAACATAATTTTAACATAATATTAAGACTTGTTGACGAAATAAATAATCGTGAGGCAAAAATACGAGGATCTGATACGTTTTCAGATAAGCGAAAATGTAGCCTGTATTTACGGACCACGTAGTTGCGCGAGCAAGGCCTCATTTTTACGACATTCAATAGTGAGTTGCCTGACCGCAGCGACGTATTTGCGTTGTTGTTCTATGAGAGTGACTAGTTGCCGGCTGAGTGCATCCCTCCTATTTTTTTCGTCGGCACATCGTTTCTCCATCTATGTGAAATACAATCTTCTTATTATAATATAGTTGCGTTTCTTGTACTTTATTGTCATCTTAAAATTAGATTTTAAGGACCAATATATTCATTAACATAAAGCCGAATAATTTTCTTTTTTTAGTTTTATATCTGTTTTAAATTGTTTATTTGTTATAAAATATATTTATAGATTCTAAAGTATAAATTTTCTTGTGCAAAAATTAATTGATTAATACACGAAATAAATCGAGAAAATTAATTATACATTAAAAAGTATTTTATTTACCTTTGCTTTATTACGTTTAACACCTTCAACGATTGCCTCGAATTGTTCAAGAAATTGCTCCTTGCCGCTTATAGATGCCATTGCTCTAATGAAAGTGGTAGAAAAATCAAACATTCGCTATCAATCCACAATAAGCGTAAGTATAAAGTTTACTAACAACTTACTCATTATAATTATCTTGAATTGAATTTAGTAGGGATAATTCCTTACTTAAATAAAGTTTCGTGTCGTCGAGAGTATTATACAATGTATAATATTGTTTTGTTTCTTTGTGCTTTGCCGAAACTATGAGTTTAATAATAATAAAACAATATTTGCTTCACTTGATGAGTAAGCGAGAGTCGATGAGTAAAAATAGATTGGCAAACCTTGATTATAAAGTTCCATAAATCGTCTTTGATATTGCGTAAGTTCTGAACGACCAGGAACATCGTCCAATTGCCTCGTTAAGGAGGCAATAGCTCTATTTTTTTTGGCTAATTGCAATCTGACCTTCGTGACTGCTTCTTTTTGTGCCTCGTACTCTTTCACGCGATCTTCTTCCTCTTCTGATGTGCCATTTTTTATTTCTTGCAACTTACCTTTCAGGAGATTTAAATCGGATTTGCATTGTTCTCGGAAATTGTGCTCTTGTTCCTTTAGACCATCGTGTACTAAAAGAAGTTCTTCCAAGCGTTTATAGATACTAAACAAATAATATTTTATTTTTTTATATTAAAACTTGTGTAACAGTATTAATGATATAAAATTATAAAAGTATAATAAAGAATAAATACCTATCATTTTCATTGATATCCATTTCTTGTGCTTTTTTTAATGAACGTTCAATGGCTTGTCGTTTTGCACGAGATTCATTTAATTTTTCAGTTAAATCTAGATGCTTAGCAGCTAAAGCATCTTTTTCTTTTGTTAATTTGCGAATACGACTTTGAAGTGCGGTTCTTTGATTCTCTAATGCAGTTAAAGCTGCTGAAGAACTAGTGGCATCAGATTCCTGTAATTAGTAATTCATGGATTAAAGCTTATTCTATAACTCCCAATTATGTAAGAAAACGTCTGATAGGTTCAAGCACTTAGATTGTTAATGGATATTGTATGTTTAAATTGAAAATTGCAAAATTACCTCAGTTTCGGAAATTGACATTGTTGCATATTTTTCAGCCACTTTGGCAATCTCTTGAGCTTGAATACCAACCATATTGCCCATTGCCACTACGCTTAAACGAGCCTGTATAAATTACAAAGAATAAATATTAATTAATTAAAAAATGTTGATTATTTAACATTGGTTATAATTACTTACCGAATTTTCTTCAATAGCAGCGAGATTTCCAGTTATTTGTTCCGTATTTTCCTATAAAATATGATATAAGGCATGACGTATTTTAAGTTTTATTTACGAATATAGTTCTGAATTCGACGACAAACTTGAATAACATTTTTAGCCTTAATGGTACTATTTTTTGTAAAAAAATATATATTAGGAGATATTATTTTAATACATGCATTCACCTTTTCCTTTAGTTCTTCTTTATTCTCGTTTTCTTTAACATCGCTCGAAGGAGTTTTAGCTGGCGAAGCAATTTTTATAGAATATAAAGGAGCTTCATATTCCAAAACTGTACCGAAATATCTAGTGGATTCGTCTCTCTTTACACCATCTTTGTGTTTAAAAAGCCTCCGGGGTTCATATGATTTCTGGAAAAAATAACTAATTATTTGAAATGAATATTTGTTTGAACGATAATCTAATAATAATCTGTCTTACTTGAACTAATTGAATATTTTTTATAAGGTTTTCTGTAACTGTTTGTACTGTACATGCGTCTTCCGAAAAGGAGTGCTTCTTGTGAAATTGACTCAAGGCAAACGATCGTACGAAATCTGCCGTTTCTTCTCGGGTTTCTATTGAACGTTTTACCAACCACTGAAATTTATTATCAGTTAATAAAATAATTACAAGAAGTTAGAAGCAAGTATTCAAAAAATAAATGACTTACTTGAATAACAGGAAAGATGTGAATACAATCTAGACCTTGGATTTGATGTGGTTCTATACGATATGGACAATTCATTTTGGGTAGCATAGCGACGATTTTTTCAGTCAATGAACTATAATATAAAACATATAAGACCTTTAATACCTCAAATATTTAATAAATTTACTTACATTTTTTGGCCTATAGTAAGATTTTCTCGAAATAATAAATCGATATCTACATCGAAGTTACACGATTCTATACACCAGGTCATTCCACCGATTACCTAAATGTTACGATAATATTTGGTGATCTTGCTGTGTCTTTTAAGTAATTGAAGAAAATTTATTTCATACGTACTTTATCAAAATTTGATAATCCTTTTATCCTGGCTCGAAAATAGCCTGCTGCCAGAAGTAAATCGATAATATCTTGAAATTTCTTTGTTTGTTCTTCATCTTCCCGAACATCAGCCTAAAGACATGTTACAATGTATTTATAGTTGAATTACATTTTCTGTTAAATCAAATTTTTCGCGCTTTCTTAAATACGTGTTCGTTAGTAAATAGAATTTCCGTCAGATGGCTACTAATGATTGCGAGGGCAAACTATATATTTCTATCTTATGGTATTTAAAGCAACTATGCTTAAATAAAAAATAAATAAATAAATAAATGAAAATGTTATACAACGTATTAAATCAGGAAAAATTGAATATACATTATAATAAAATAATATAAAACATAAGAGTTAGGAAATATGAAATACATCGTAGAAAATATACAGGAATGACACTGCGTACTTCACTATTGATAGATAACATAACAATAACATGCTGTAAACAGATAAAAGTTGTTAGTTTCCATGTTTTCTTTCGATAAGCTTCGATCGTTGGTTTTTCAATTTATTAAAATATATGACTGTTTTATCAATATACCTCAGTTGTTTCAGAACTTCGTGATAATCTCCTTGGCACATCGTTCAACATGGCTTTGTTCCTTTACGATTGCAAATCGGGACAATTAATATGTATATAATATATGTAAAACGAATTATGAATGTGTTTATTTAACAATATTTAAGTCGTATGACGTTTTATCACTTGGTGGTGCACATTCTTGATATTATGTCAGCCATTTTGCTTTTGTCACGCCTTGTAGTGAAACTTTAAGTCGGGTTTCTATGATCTGTTTGTGGAATAGTTTTCATTATTCAAACTAAATAAACATAAAATTTATATTTAAAGTATTACGTATTAGCCTTTCCTAAACTTTATTTAACGTCTTTTAAAAATAAATATAATAATATTAATAAATTTGAAAATAAAAAAAATAAATAAATATAATTTATTTTTCTCTTACACAAAAATCCAAGTAAAAATCCTATATTTATGGATATAAGCTATTATTCATTTTGTATGTAATAAAAATTTACATACGCAAATGTTTGAACAAGTACGATGAAGTCTTGCATGAGTTTTATTTTTGTAACTTGACATTCCTTCATGTATATATATATGCATATGCATATGCATGTCAAATTTCGAACGACAGTGAAATATACGTCTCATTTATTTTAACTTTTAAGATTCATCAGTGTTCTGCAGGAAAATATAAAAATGTCTAAGTTATCGGATAATGCAGTAATACTATACGTAAACTAAGAATGATTAATATAGAAAAATTGCTTGTATCTCCATTTCTTTTTTGTTTTTCAATTATTTTTCTTTGAATCTTCAAGAAATTTTCTAGCTCTACGAGTTAATTGCAATTACACGCTATCTGAACGTTTTTTATGTCACGAAAGTGATTAACGTTATCAACTTCGTAACTTCTTGTAATCTAATGCTACCTTATGATTTTAAATGGAAAATATATAAGGTTTTACAGAATAATAACGTTGAAATGTGAAAATTTTCCTGAACGATATTTTTCATTTCGTTCTATTAATCTTAAGTGTTCTTGGTATCATATATTCACCTTGGGATGAAATTAATATGACAAGGTATTTTTTCTCAAGAGATTTTCCACTCAATGACAACGAGCAAATTTTACCGCAAATATTCTACGAACTGTTACATAACTATTACACAATACCTCTAAAATAGAAGCTGATGAAGATACTTCTGTTATGTCGTCAAATCGTCAATCATCCGAATTATATTTCTTTTCGATAGAATTATTAAATCGATCAATAATACACGATAACAGTAATGACATCGGAATTCAAAATCGTGGAATATCAAATTTTTGTCTTAAATCGCAAAACTGATTCGAATATTTCAAACTATCGATCTGTGATAAGTAATCTGCTCGAGTTGAAAATAATAAAAGAGGATATTGCAACTTGTAAAGCAATCTTACAGGAAATCTACATTTTTCCTCGTAACGGTACAGTTTTAACGGATCTCAAATTCCATGACTCCGCACTTATTGGATCCAAGCCGTAATACTAATAATTAAAAAAACACGATCACTATAATCTCGAGATCTAGGAACATCAAATCCCATGACTGGGGAATCCGAGCTCATCGCCCCGACACCCGAGTGTTCCGGATCTAATCTTTGGTATATATTGCGAAACTATATGCAACAGACCTGGATCATCGATCGTTTTACTTTTAATACAGTTCAGATAGCATATCCTGCAATCATGAAAATCAATATCCCTTAGTCACGCGACCACTTATCGAGGCTCTGATTCTTATCAGGCTTCAGGTGGTCCATACAGGTAGAACAACTCGTCAAACGCTAACCAGATATTAACTTGCAGATGGACGGGATCAGGGACGAAGAATGCTGGGTGAAAATACCTTGGTCTTTTGCAAATCGTTGTGTATTAAATATCCATAACATTGTTTGGTACAATGACTGACAAAAATTGATGGCGTGCACGGAACACGCGTGCACATGAAACGACATCCTCTGCGCGGCAACCATTGCCACATAGACGCGCGATTCATCATGGAAGTCCGAAGTAAAAAAGCGGCGAAACGGCATGTATCATTTTTCTGTCGAATATTATTCGTAAGTCACGATTCCGTTTAAAGAATCTCTATCACCGTGAAATTTTCTTGCACCCTAGAGTCATCGTATCTATCCTGGACTATCCGTATGTGTGTGTGTCTCCGTGTACAAAGTATTGTACACAGAAGAAAAGGGAAAAAGAAAAGAATATCGAGGAGTCTTGATGGGAATGGAGGATGGACGAGTACAGGAAACGGTGAAACATGGACGAAGCTCGGCGGAACTCAGGAGCTTTCCGTGGCTCGAAATAGGAGGAAGTTTGCTTCTATTTAAGTTCTCGGTGAAACGCGTACACCTGATATCGAGATTTTAGGAAAATGGCAATAACTACCGTGCATCGGTTATTGTCCTCTCGATGGACTATGTCTTTCTACATCGTCTTACTTTCTCATACAAAATACACTGTTGCGGTTGAAAAATCATTGAAATCGTTCCAAGATCGAAGAGGAACGCGTTGAGATAGATTTTCGTTTAACGTGCAGAATGTATCATTAAAGCTGTCATGGTCTAATAATTTCCACATTGTATAAAATAAACAAATTTTCAGTCCTTTGAATTTCGTTCGATGCTAACACCAGAACTACTCACCTAAATATACACGCTAATAATGATTAGAATACTATGATTTAACGAAAAATAATTAGCCCACTGTCTCGATAAAAGCGAATATTAATTTTGCCAAAAGCAGCAGCACGTTTTCAATAACTGGAAGAACGAGATGTCTGAAATCGGTTCTTACCGTTTTGATAGTTCCAGTGTTACAATATATATTCTTACTTGCCATAAAACAACTTTTCGGGACCACGTCAGAGCGAAGGGATAAAGGTTGCATAGAAAACTTTTTGAGTCGTAATTCATAATTCATATTCTCACGTTACATTCAGTGTTCTTATATTTTCAAACGACAACTAAAACATGCATCTTCGTCGCTAACTCAACTACCTTCAAAGTGTAAAATAAAAGGGATTCGATCGAATGAAAAAATAAAAATGATCTCTGCATCGTACGTTAATCACTCTTAAACAGCTCCTTAGACAATCTCCGTACCTTCATTCTCTTGACATAACTTAGAAAATTCTCTTACAGCAAATAAGAATGCTCTTCGTACCGAATAAAACCCAACGTCTACAAATTTCTACCTCTCTACACGTTTCTGTAACAACTTTAGTTATACATCCTGTGTATACTCCAGTCTTACATCCTACGATTTCCGCAAGGCGAAAGAATCAAGGCACTAAAAAACTGTATCGCTTGTGTCGCGAGGCACGAACGACGAGGATCGCGGGAGATGGATCGAAAATAGTCGAAACGAAGAACGATCGTGATCCCTGCGACCTGTCGCTGTGCAATACGTATCGCGAAGCGTATATGACTCTTTGATTATAAATAGCACTTGAAGAATGTAAAGCTGAAACGAAGGTCGAAATTAGCGATCTGAATTTCGTCAAGATCCCCTGGCCCGATCTTCGTGATCGAGCGCGGCCTAATATCTAGTCGATGAACAATCGATGGATCTTACGGTTTAATTGCAAGTCGAACACGCTTGAAATGAATTATTAGAAATTTCGTGTAGTCTTTGTACTATTTTCTCAGAGGATTATAATTTCTATCGCTGCTCGTAAAAATGTTTAAATGTTATTGTCCTGCGAAATATTTATCTAACGATCTGACGACGCGATGATTTCCTTTTTCAATGATCTCGATAATTTCGTGAAATTCGAATCGCTCAGCATAGACCTCGATCTTTGACAAATTGGCTGTTATCGGTTGTTCTTATCGACGAAAATGCGCCTCTTCGATTACTGTAGGCTCGACCTTCTCTATGCCGAGTCAAATATCCAATTTGCGGCCTAATCTCGCATGATGACGCACAACGCGTCAAACTTCGGTGTCTCTCGCTAAACTTCTTACAGACTAGCAAGCGTGCACATCGCGATATCATCACACCTACGTGCCATTCTGCCTTTTTACTCTTAATTAGCCACCATTTTTTGTACGTCTTCCTTCGTCTCTTTTTATGCAATGTGCACTAGGAACAGATCGGTGGTTTCCGTCGGTGTTGAGTCGATCAATCGTCTCTTTCTGTCGGATGGAACCATACTTTTAAGCGTTATCTCTCGACGATACCAACAATTTTGTAATCTTGTCCTGCGGTTTAAAAAGCTCGAAATCTGTCTCGAGTCTAATCGACGAATTCTTCAATCTCGATTCCAAACAAAACGGGAGTCTTTTCGAATACCGATTTCGATCCGCACGTCCGATTAAGGAGAAAATTGAACAGTCAAATATCGCCAATAACAACGAAATCGTTCGATACAATAAAATCCGAATTTCGACGCAAATGCGGATCGAGCGATGATCGAGCGATGATCGACCTCGGAAACCTCTTATCTTACAAATCGCTCTCTTGTCGCGGCAAAATTGAACGAACGAACGCACGTTAAAGCCAGAGAAGAAAAGAGGAAAAAAAAAAAATAAAAATAAAAATAAAAATAAAACGCGAACGGTCCTTGTTCGTTACGTACAAACGACGCTTAAGTATAATTTACGTATCTATGCGCGTACGTAATGCGTACGTAAGCTACTAAAAAGAAAAAAGAATGAAAAAAAACCGTCCCGCAGTTGTGTGAAGTCGATGGAAAAAGCTTCGTCGTGCGCACGGCCGACGCAACGCGAATAAATAATAAAAGAGAGAGAAATGGGGAGAGGAAAAGGACTCCTCTATCCACGTCCTTGATGATACTCGTCTCAAGTTATCCGCACGGATCCCGCGCGTCGTGGAATCCACGATCCCGTGGATCCGGGTACTCCGAGCTACGTTGTGCTATTGACTTTGCTCGGTTAATCGCTCGAACGTATGGCGATGCGCGGTAAAAGTCATTAACGTGGCGCGAAAGCAATTTCATTATCGAAATACTCCAAGATTTCACCCAAAGACTAACATGCCTCGAGTAGGTTTAAAAGCAAATTTCGAATAACTCTAAAAATTTCGGCAAATTTTGGGCAAAGAGAAGAATGAAGAAATTTGGAAATGAATTGAACAAATTTCAAATTGGAAAGGTACGATAACAAGATGGGTATAAAAATTTCATTTTATGGAGTTATTAAATAATTCTTCAGAATATTCTTTGGAATTTTGGAATTCTATTGTGGATGTTCCGGTGGCGAATTGTGTTATGATAAATCGAAATTCTGTTGCACGTGTAAGCAAGTTTAGATACCTAATTAAAGGTTAACGCACCACATTAATGATTCTTACCGTACACTTGGCGTACGGCGTTGTACGGCGCGACGTCAGTAGCGACGACTCTAACGTAGATCGGTGAAGATCGATTGTGTTTTCTACAATATCAAGCCATATTCTATTTAATACACGTCTTATATCGGTTACACGAGTTGCAGGAAAAAACGAAGCGATGGTGACGAGTCTACGGTTCTTTATGTAAGAGGAGTTCGTGTATAGCAGGTCTTTAAACGTATCGTCTTTTTAATTCCAAGATAATTACTTAATTGCTATATCCAAGAATGAGCGAGCATATCTCGTGTCTTTTTCATAATATGTAATAGTAATTTTTCCTACGGTATGATTAGCACGACTACTCCTAGCTTTTTATTCGTAGTTTCCTATCCCTAAAAAACATCCTTACAATCATTTTTAATAGATGTTTTCCTATGGTGCACACATCGTCGATTGGCACGAAACTGTGAGGCTAGATCCTAAATGTAAAATATTAAATTCGGGTATCTAACAGTTTCCGATGAAATAGGAATTTCATCGACATAATTTGACGTTATACATAGAGATCTGTCTACAAGAAGATTTGAAATATGTCATTCCGTAGAAACTGAGGTTTGGAAACTATCAAACATAACCGAGGCCAATATTTTACATTCACGATCCACTACTCTCAAAATTCGGTACCAATCACAGACGCAATGCTGTTTGCGAGGATCCTCTTTTTAAATCTTCTTTCCTACAAGAAAATAGCTCTCCCTAGAAGCACGTCGCTCCTTCGAGCAAAGTAAAGCAAATAGTTGCCAAGGAAGAATTTACAAACAATGGTATATCCGACAATTGTGGCTCATCTATAAATTCGATACACGAACTCCTCTTGGTATCCGGACACAGCGACACCGTCTACGATTACAGAGAGAATAAAGAATAAGAATAACGAAGATAAGGAAAGGTTCATCTATAAATTCGATACACGAACTCCTCTTGGTATCCGGACACAGCGACACCGTCTACGATTCCAGAGAGAATAAAGAATAAGAATAACGAAGATAAGGAAAGGAAAAAAAAGTATAAAAGAACTGTGAGGATCGATCGTGGATCCCATCTACTACGTGACGTCTTCGTCGTCGTTACAGTCGTCGTGCAATCGATGTGGAGAGAAATATAGAGAAGGAGCGAGACGAATCTAGAAGTTCGGAGCTCGCGTGGCCGCGTGACCTTACGCTGGGTGGCCCAGCGGCGGCGGCATCACCCTCCTGGTGGTCGTCATCGTCGTCCCTCTGGTCCGACGAATCCGCTCGACGAGAGCGCGGAAGGTGTCCAACGACACGCCGACATCTGTGGTACGCGCTGAGCGATTATTCCGTCGCACCGCAGCTCCTTCGAACCCGGTGCTTCATTTGTGCTCCTCGAGGATCTCCTGGATGCTCACGTAGGTGCCGGTCAGGAAGCCCAGCACGCCGAACGAGATGATGGCCAGGTTCTTCCAGAGCTTCCAGTAGCATGCTCCCAAACCGTTCTCCTGTTCCCATACGGTGACCAATTCGATTACGGATGGGAACATCAGTCCCAGGGTGGACAGGCACACAGCGCCTACTAAAGAAATAAATGGACCTAGGTTTGGAATAGCGATCGCGACGCCCACGGTGAAGATCACCATGACGATACGGATCATGTACTCGGCCAGACGCTTCTTCGAACCGAAGTATTGCTTCACGTTCTTCCAAATGATTTCCATTGGTACGTAGAACTGGAGGCCGTAGGTAAGGAAGATCGCTACCGCGATCATTACCTTCGCGGACTGGGCCAGAATCTCGCTCTGCTCTGGGTTCAGAGTGATCGAGGCCTTCGTGTTCTCGCCGTATCGCCAGTAGCCGAAGAAACCGACGGTACTGTACAACAATACCACGAAGAACATGCCGGTGTTCAACACGCCTGGGCAACCGATGAAGTGCGTCGGTGTCTTCATATTGTTCTCCAGAGGCATCACCTGGAAAAAGTAGTTTGCTCGATTAAAATATCGTCTCCCATTGGCGTCGAATTTTCATCCAATTTAGATTTTTGTCCCCGAATATTCATCACGTCGATTAATCTCGATTGATTATTATGAAATTTGGATTTTTCGAAATGCGATGTATATAAGTGAATTCTTCGAATGGGGAGTTTGGAAATTTTCAAGACAGCTTAGAATGTCAGAATTTGCAACCTTTTAGATAGCAGACCTATCGATTAGCTCTTTGCACTTGGTAATCTTTTCGTTACAGAAACATAATAATTCGAAGACTTGCTGCCATAAAGTCGACGATATTTTCAAAACGGTAAATAGAAGTGGAAATTAATCGTAAGACGTAGAATCATTTTACCTCGATATTCCACGCATCGTTGGACAATTTTGAATTCCAGATCTCGATTAATAACGATCTTTAGAATCCGATTAAATGGCGACCGAGTGTCGCCTTCTCGACTGACTATTAGGAAACTTGGATTCTTCGAAATACGACGTATATGAACGAATTCCTCGAATGACGAGTTTGGAAATTTTCAAGAGAGCTTAGAATGTCCGAATTTGCAACTTTTTAGATAGCGGACCCGAAGAATGTCCTTAGCCAGCACTGTCGATCGTGTTACGCGGATCTGTTACGTGATCCAATGGAATTTTACAACTACAATGGCGGTTGTACTATTGATTCTGTTACCTTATTGGGCGAAATAATTTGCACGATTTAAAAGTAATCGACGCAACGAGACTTAAATTCGAGATCCGGCGTTATGCTTTCGTAAATGTGTCACGTGTGTCGATAAATGCAACAAAAGGATTCGCAGTCTTGTCTCTCGTTATGCGCGCTTATGTAATAACGCGTCTATTACGTGCAATTTTTACATGCGGCTACCGCATTAAGGTCACAGACGGTATTTAAAGACCGGTATCTTGTAATATTTAATTAGATCATATAATTCCGAATAATTTTCAATCTCGCGTATTACGAGATCGAGATTATCATCGAGATCATTATCGCGCCATGTTGCTTTAAATTCATATTCGTTAAATTACCATTCCCCATAATTTCACTGGACGCTAAAATTACCGAACTATCCAGAATTCTTTCTACCTTCGATTATCAAATGCAGCTGCCTTCGGCAAAATTAATGCCAATTTTTATTCGGTTAGGAAAAACGTACTTCTACACGCTATTTATTTCTATCGTAATTATTTCTGTCGTTACATTTATTGCTATACTGCTTTAATTATCATCCACTACCTATGCCTTTTACAATTTTTATTATTCCCTGCTATATTTAGACGCTCGTTATAGATCGGTAATTTTAATTTCCGATTGAATTTTCGTATTATAGGGGAAAGAAATCGTGGACGTGATTGAGAATTTGAAAAACGAGGATTCGCGAGGAATTAATCATTCGGCAGTTTGCGAAGACGAAATCGCAAAGTTCCAAGGAGAATTTCACCGCGATCGTTCGTCGGAATTTTCGATCCAGTGTCTAGCCGGCAATCGTTCGTAACCGCTTATCGCATGATCGAAATACTAAACGCGATTCAACCGCTACGCGTTCGCGTCTGATCACGCTTCGAACGGAATATCAATGACACGATCGACTTCTATAAAACGAGCCATCGAAATGCATATAAAAGGCAGATAAACTGTACCTTGGACATTAGAGCGATCGTAAGTCCCGAGGATGTGAAAATCGAAATAAAAATTTTCGAATGAAAGCGCTTGACGAAATGAAGTGAAAGTGAATTTCATCATCTGCTCCGCTTTGCGGTCTCGAATGCTGGTAAAAGACAAGCAAAACGCGAGCAATACGTAATTAGCATAATTAGCGCTCGTAAATTAAAAGAAACGACAAGACAAATACCTAATACGAGAAATGTAAAAATTTTTAGATTAGGATTAACACGAAGTTGTAATTTAAAAAAGAACAGAAAATGAAAGCATCTACTAATCCTGTTTATACATATATACAGGTAACCCTCCTATAACACGGTAGATGGGTTCCTAGAAAATACCGTGTTGTGTGAAACCGTGTTGTACGAGACCCAGAGACAGTACAAAAAGGGGGGTTACGTTCCGAAAACTTATTAAAAACAAATTTCTTTTCTAATTCCACATAAACAACTTAATTTTGATTAAAAATATAAATATATGTGCAACACAAAACAAATAAGAAACAAAAATATTATTTTAATTTAACGCAACTTTAATTTAATAAATTTCTTCGTCGTCACTGCTCGTGCAGAAGTACAGTGTTGTACAAAGGTTTTCGTAATTTTCTCATCGTGTTAGAGCGAAACCGTGTTGTAGGAGGGTTCTCGCAATTTATGAATCGTGTTATAGTGAAACCGTGTTATAGGATGCCGCGTTGTAGGAGGACTACCTGTACATACATTAGCCTAATCTTGGGTAGTCTACAAATCATTCAAAAGTCCTCCAAAAAGAGTGAAAAAGATTATTGAAATAAATGAAAAATAATTATGGAAGAATAGTGATTTATGATAGATCGAATGGTAAGGAGGTGTTGTGACAGATCTAAATGAAAAATATTCGGGTAACGAAATGCTTAGAATTCTGGTTGGAAAATTCGAAAGAAATTTGTATTCGTCACTGAAACATTGTAATTCGTTTTATGGTTGCAGTGGTATATCGATAATTATACTTACAACACCGATGCCTTCGAGGGCGAAGATGGCGGTGCCAAAGAACAGAGGTAACTGAGACCAGCTCGAAAAGTTGGGCACGTCATGGATGCTGGGCAGATCGCTGAAAATATAGTAGAACGTGATCCCCATTCCAGTGGCGATCAACACGTTCGCAAGCATGGAGAACGGCGCCAGGTATTTCAGGTTCCTCACGAGAGAGAATATAATCAAGAGAGGCAATAGCGCCGCCATAAAATACCGGATATCCCGGTCGGTCTCTGTATAATAGTCGACCACCCCCTTGATGTTCGTCGAGATGAAAACGATGTACACGCAACAGCAACCTATTAGGTCGATCACTAGGAACGAATTAATCGTTGCCCTGAAAAAATTCGACAGATCGTTACTCGTGACCGTGTATTTTTCCACCCTTGGGATAAATTCGCCCGACGTTAACTGAATTTCTCGAGCAATTAATTTAGCAAACTAGTCCTAGCTTTGTTCTCGTGGGAATAGAAAATTCTGCTAATCTCAGAATCCACTGGAAAGCGACTAGAGCTTAGGATAGTAGTCCAATGATTCCCGAATTAAGAGGATAATGCAGGGAAAATTTGTGAAAAAGAGGGTTCTATAGATGCTATGTCAGAGATGGTAAGATTTGAAACTCGACAGGGGTCGTGTCTGACACGGAGTCGTACCCTTGAATTAACCCAGGGTCTTTTGGATGTAGAGAGGTAGTTGGTACATTCGAAATTTTTTCTCATAAGAAGAAGATTTTGTCGAATTATGAAATAAAGTTTATAGTTCCGGCGGTATAATTCTTTGAATACACCTGTACTCTCCGAAGTTCCTCATCCAGACTTTGCACTCCGCTATGGAGACACTGCTAATCTATACTAATATTGTTATAAAAATATGCACTACTTTTCCAGGATCAAATTTTTCCTCCCCAAAAGCTTCTCACTTTGGAATTATCAGGACTGCAAGTCGGTTGGATAAAGAAATTCCGAGAATTGTCGAAGGGTTAACTTGAAGCCTACCAGGGCTCAAATGATTTTCCTTACATTTCTAATTAAATTTAGCCACTTGTCCAAGTGTTCCGTTCTTCTGAAACTTTTCTTATTTTATTTCTTCCATCTACTGGTCGTTTGACCGATCATGGTAGGTCTAGTGTTAACCCAAGAATTACCATAATCGGTCAAGTGACCGATAAATGGAGAACTCAAAGAGAAAGAGCTTGAAAAGAAATGGAATAGTTGTTGCAAAATAGACAGTACGTGTATTAAGAGGAATATCGAGAATTCGAACGGACTAAATGACATTTAACATGGAATGCAGAATTTTGAATGAAAATTTGAAGACGGTCATTTAGACTGTGGCAAGTTTATTAACCCTTCCGCCACGGTGGGGGTCTGTTAACCCTTGGAACAAAGCGTTTTCAAAGTTTTAAACGTTCAAAGTTTTTAGCATTCGGGGCCAAGAAAAGAAAAGAAAAAGAAAAACCGATGATCGCAATAGCGTTTGCAATTCTTCCGGAAGAGAGCTAATCGGAACGGGAGCACTTGTCTTCATTTTTGGCTCGATTCTTGCGACTATAGCCACCCGTCGTGTGTAAGTGGTGTGTCTGATGGCCGATGACTATGGTGATAGTAACGAAAAGGGTTAAAAAGATAAAAAGAAAGGGAGACTTACTTAGCCAGGCGAGCGTATTTCTGGATAGGTTCGGGTCCGACCAGAAACGCGGCTTCGGCGACATCAGCGAAGCCTAGACTCGGCGTCTGAGTCCGCCTGCATAGGTTATGCGCGCACTTGACCAAGATGTGCACGCAGTAGGTACAAACGGCACCGATGAAGAAGGTAGCGAAGAGCCCGAAGAGCAGACCGGCATTACGGAATGCCATTGGCATAGCTAGAATTCCGGTTCCCAGGCTGCCTTTCAGCAGATGTATCAGGGTGTCCAAGTCTGACGTCGGATGTGCCAACTTCCTATGCTCGAACGGGTTGTAAAGGGCCGCTTCCTCGTCGTTTGGTCGTTCCACGAGCGGCAACGTCGAACCGTTCGTGACGGTAATCGGTACGTCATTTTTCTCGCACTTGTATCTGCAAAACCGACGTCGTTAGTATGCAGTCCCGTTAACGGGTTTCCGTTATAGAAGGGGTATTGATATATCATAGTTTTGAGATCGCGAGTAGAAGTGTGGCGTGGGGATTCATGACTACGTACGGCACGACAGTGTTTCCTTTATTTTTTTTTTTTATTTTTTTTTTTCTCGACTCACTGATTATGTTTCTGTATCGATTACGACAAGAATACGTTCATGAGGGAAGAGTAGAGAGTGACGTGTGTGAGAGATTTTCTTTTTCGTACTCGCGCAACCAATGCACGCTACGCACAAGGATCACGGATCAGTGGGGGGAACAGAGAGGATCGAAGCGTTCGTAATCGATCCATAGATCATCTGGACGCGGTATGACACGTGGTAACACACGTGCGTGGTCAGATTGATGATTTTTGTTTACTTTGGTAATCACGACGAGAGAGAAATAATAACCCTAACTTGCAAGTCGAGCAGCTATTTGATAGACTGAAGCAGCTAGCAGAAGGATTCTTTGAAAACAGAAATTAACCCCTTACACTACGATGACGAGTCTAACTTGTATGTTTAACAATAAATCTAATTTTATCGTGGATGGAGTAAATCTATGGTGGTTAACACGTTAAACGCCAGACCGGTCCTAGGGACCCTAGACTTTCCGTTCAGGTCCTGCAAGATGGCTAACTGTGGCGTGAACCGAACGACACGTAAAACCGGCGTGACGTTTAACCTGATAATTAAAATTATGGGTTAATTACATGGTTAATTAAGATACTTCTTCCATGTGTTCGATGACTTTTCGTAATTAAATCGTAGTGCAAGGGGTTAATGATACGTATCTATCTTCTTTGAATATTTCATATATCGTTACACGTTACTTTGGATTTAATTTCGATCTTTGGTCAGTATCATTTTGCAAAATGCCTCTCAGAAACGTACGGTTAAATGCTCTAGACGAAGGAGTTCCAGATTATTTATCATTGTTGAAAATACACAGACACTTTTGGCAAAATGCGTTTTGTTTCTCATCGAGATAGGATTATATTTATCCTCAACTTTCTATTTTCGTTGCGTCGTTTTATTTATAATTGTTTATGTTTAGATGCACGCTTGAGGTCGGTAGTTCTAGTGTCAAGGAAAATTTACAGAATCGTACTCCGTTTTACGTGTCTATTTCCATTCGTTTGTTTTTCAAATTGCATTCTAAATGTCATCCAGCGTGACACCGAGATATTATTCGAACGCGGTTGGTATTTTGGATGCGTGAGTACGGAAGTCGGATCGTTCACAGTCCAACCTGCAGAAATTTCGCAACGAAGACAGCAAGTGCCACGCGTGAGTTGAGTAACACGTTTGAAGCTAAAATTCGTCCAGACTTAAGGCCAAAACCATATTTATAGCTCATCAACGGTCACGTTTATCATATCCGTAAAACAGGACGAGAGATATTCCTCCGTTAAAATTCGCTTTGGCTAGAAAATAATATTTTATGCGGCTTTTTCGTATTGACCTCGATGACATCGATGTACATGAATATTCGCACGCGTGTATTTCTCTTGGCACTTTTATTGCCTCGACATTTCATTTTCTATTCGAAATAATTTATAACGATCGATGTATACAAAGGTAGAAGTGAAATAGAAAATTCTTCAAAGAAAAATCAACAATCTGACTACAGCGCAGAATTCGTGATAAATTAAACGCCTCATGGATTAAACGAGTTTGATGATAACACGATAAAGACGTGAATTCGTGGGCGAGATCTACGCGTTTCGATCAGGCAAAAGCTGGCCACTCGTGACACGCATTAATTCTAGAGTAGAGGAAATGAAACTAGCAATGAGCTTAATGCGAGATCTCGCAGCTGAGATGGTGTTTGCACTCTATGGACTCGAGCAGTATCGATCATCGCTTCTTTCCATCACGCTGAGCATTTGAATACGGCTGCAAGCGTGATTCTATTGCATTCGGTTCGAAAGGTGCCAGCGAATAATGTGTCAAAGACCAACGACTTTCAAAGTATTCCTTTCGAATCACTCCATTTTCGAAGGTACAACAACAAACGTGTCGACAAAGATTTACTCGACCTTCCCTCAAGCTGGAAAATTAAATTCCCGACAGAATTGCATGGAGAAAAATAATTTCTTCCGGAATTATACGGAATTCGCGTTTACTATACTTTATCTGCGCATTTACTCACTCTGAATCGTTATTCAGAGACCGGAAAATCCTATCAACGCGAGATCGTGGCAATTAAAAGCAAGTTACTCCCTGGCACCTTCGCGTAATCCGATTTGGGGATTCCGCGGAATCGGTTAAGCTTTCTCGAAGCTCCTCAGGTAAGAAGAGCCCTATCGACGAGCTTGACGAAGCGATAAAGTAAAGTACCCCGAGGGACCATTTAATCCACGCATTTCTATGGCAAACGGTTCCCTTCGATTTCCTCCCTGTCGCCCAATTTCCTGTCCGTTATGTGCACATGCGAACATCGAGGAAATCCATCGAAAGATCCGCGGAAGCTCCGTGAAAAATCTCTCCAAAACGTCCCGAGTTTCTATTTTTTCATGTTTTTTTTTCTCTTTCTCTCTTTCATCTACATCTTTCGATCGATACTTCTGATTCGACGATCGCGCAGACGATTCTCGTTTCTGCACGGTATTTTTCGTGCGTCTCACTCGCAGGTTTCTTTTCCACCGTTGCACGAGGTTCGAGGGAAAAGTGCATGGCGCAACGTGTTTCGCGAGATGACAATTGGCAAGGTCCGAATTGAAACTTCCGGCAACAGCGAGCTTTGGCAGAATTCTGCACGGCGACGATCAGTTCGTGCCCGGGTTACTGTCGCACGATCAGGGATTGATCCTTGAACTGGATCGAATTCGTCCAACGATTGTCCCGATCGTTTATGAGCTGATAGAGAGATTCGTCTCGTGGTCTTTATTGGAACGATAATGGATCCAGGGTGTGACGAATTGACAGGCACGGAGATACGCGTTGCGTAATGAAGGATGATCATCGAGCCTCTAAAAATGACTCGAGTAATATTCTATGAGACGTAGGGATGATTTTCAGACGAGACTGAGACAGGTGAGATCAATATTAATTTCGAACAGGGGGAGTGGAGTGGCCTCGAGTAACATTTCGAGTTTCGGGAAATGTCGGAAAATTCGTGCCAAATGGATTTTATTTACACCCTTAGCATATTTCTAGCCGACGACTTTATTGCCTGTTGGCAGTTTAATTCTGCACGATCTTCTCCATGCATTCGTCATTTGTCACCTGTGTCCTGAATGAATAATTTTCACGTTTAGGCGTTGAAGCAGCTTTCACGCGAGTTTTGCAATTCGCACTGCGGATAGCCGAGTTTATTCTTCGTGATTCGAAATTTGATTTTTCCCCTTAGCTATGGCACGTTTCGAATATTAGCCTCGGCACTCGAGCAAACGATGAAATAACGCGACTCGAAATTACCATTACGTATTCACAGCGACGTCGACGTTGTTCTCATTAGAAATACGGCGATATGTCTTACCGTAGACACCGTTTTTCTCGAATAAATAATTTATGAACACGCTTTCGCAAAAAGTTGCAATCCGTCCGCTAACACGTGACGCATGGAAAATCTCCCAATCTATATTCTATTTGTATTAACTTTCCGCCAAGTGTCTCGTAATTGTATCCCCTGCGCGTATAGCATGAGATATAGCAAATATTGGAATTAAACGCGTCGCATGAATATTCCGATGTTGCAAAAAGCGGGAGACATACGTGGCCATGAATACACGTTTCGATGTTGCTATAAGCTCCCTTGTGGGAGAAAAAATTTCTGAGATTCAAGAATAACGACGTACCGAGCTAGGAAAACGCGTGTGAAACGTCTGAACGCAGTTATGCTAGGATGAAAAATGGTACCCCGTTCTATTTCCTCTGTTCCCAAACTCGCCATCGTGCACAGCTGGTCCTCGTGGAGAAATGAGGGAGAAATTATGACTGCCGCGTTTGACCATGCACTTTTCCCGGTAAGATTACCGCAACTTCGATCATGAACGATCTGTAGGACGAGCACAGCGTGGATTACACGACTAGCACGGAAGAAAACGAGCAAATCTGTCGGACGAGATGGACAATCGGTCGTTCGATCGTTATCGTTCGTTTCAACGTACGTTTCCCGATTTGCTTCGACGTTAATCGACAGGATCACGTAGCACGTGTGCGTAATACTTGTGTGTGTATTCGTGTGTAACGGCGAGACACGTATGGTGTAGTAAAAAATGGCAAAAAGGTAGGTGTGTAGGCATATAGGTACCCATTGAGGTGCGGTAGTTTCTCTCCTTAGTCGTGCGAAGCTTTCTTAGTCGAGAAAGCTCCGAAATAGAATAGTAGTAGTAGTAGTAGTAGTAGAGTAGTAGTAGTAGTAGGTCTGTGTGTGTCACGTTACACGTGACAAGAGTTCACGCGCCGCGATCAGGCTTAGAGGCAGCTGCAACCACCGCACTGCATCACCGCGACGCCCAGCGCCACGACGCAGTACGACGACTAACAAGCCTTCTTTGCTTTCTGACATTTTGCACTTCTCGCCGAGCGTGTCTATTTTTTTTTTTTAATTATTTTTATTTATTATTTTTCGGTACTTTAAGTCCGTTCCGCCTTTTTTTTTTGTTTGGATTTTTGGTTTTTGGTTTTTTTTTTACGCACGTCAAACGATCTATTTAATATTCAATTGCCAATTTTTGTATGTATATTTTTTTTTTTGGTTTCGTATTTTTGATGTTGCACGACGTCCGAAAAATGTTCGTTTCTCTTTCTTTCATTCTCTTTTTCGATTCTTATGTACATTTTTCGGTTTTATTTTTACTTTTCCGTGGTACTTTCGATATCGTCAGTCGGTTTGTTTGCGTCGCGTTTGCGTCTGGTCGCGAAACTCCGTTACTTTTTTTTTTCTAACTTTTATAGATTTTTTCGTCCTTTATTAATTTCTGCGTTTCTTTTCCGTTTTTCGGTACTTATTTTTCGGTCTTTTTTTTTTTTTTATTTATTTACATCGTTTGACAACAAAGCGTTTCACCGTTGCTCGATCGAGCGGCGTAACACGTCGATCGTAACGAAACCGTCTCGATAAATCCGCGCTTTGAACCCGCGATCGTCCATCAGAGAGACCGTGCCGTTTCTTTCTCTTAAAACGGTACCGTGTGTGTATACATATATGTAGATATGTACATATATATAAATATATATGCAGTTTTAAAAGATTTATTTTTACATTTTTATGTTTTACTTTTTGTCACTTTCACGTTATTCGCAGAGCACTTTCATAGAGCCCGAATCTATGCCCGCAGTTTATACGCAAGTCTGGAATCATATAAATGCACATATTATATAGTAAAGACAGATTTCATCTTTATCATAATCCTTTAGAGGAACATAGTTTGCTTGCACACCGCATGGCCTCAATTACGAAGCATCCTCAGCCAATGACGAAGAAACCGCCGCGAGGATTATCTCCTTGCTGCACCTTAATCCCCTACTAATTTATTTTAATTACCATAATCCCTCTTTCTCTCCCGTTGCGCTATTTTTCCGATTTAAATACAGTCGAACCTCTATAAGGAACCCTATTTTCTCACACCCTTTCGCTGGATCGTGGAAACACCCATGAGGCGAAATAAAATTAATTTTAACTCAAATTCTTCGTTGTCAGGCACGTCTTTTCAACCCCGTAATTCTTTTAAAATCCGTTCTTTTACCCCGAATTCGGAATAGCTAGTTCTCTATGAGCCAAAGCGTTCTGTCGAATATACTATCGTTGCCATCGCTATAATTCGAGGTTTGCAATATTTCAGAAACTAACCACGCGCAATTTCTTTCGTCCGTTTACGTCTCAGAGGTTCGCTTTATTTCGAATAAAATTGAGCACAAGGCGAGAGAATCTATACCCCTATTTTAAGCGTCTCTATATCGAACTTTCGATTTTTAAGCCTATTTTATCCTAAAATCTCTGTAACGCGAAATTTCTAGCTCTTCGAGGCTCTTCGAGACTGTTGCGAAAGAAAATAATTTAAATACAACGCGTCATGCTACATCGCGCGAGGTAACGTAATCAATGTATCCAGCCAAATGACCTGTCCAAAGTTTCGAAGAAACTCTTTCGTTTCGCTTATCCCCGAACTAAACGAATTTTTCTTTCCATTATTTAATTAAAATTTCTATTTCGATAATTGCCACGTGATAATCGGACCCGTGTATCGCGAAACGCGTGGAAGACTGAACGAGATGACTCGTTTCGAGGCATTTCCGGGGAACGCTGCTACTAAAACGGTTCCCGTTTCCTGGGAACCTGCGACTAATTGCGACGCGAAATTATCGAACAGCTATACGACTTCGTGCGATGAAAACGGCGCGTTATCCAACAGGTGGTCCGAGCGAAATTAGGTTCGGGAAGATTAACCGTGGTCGCGATTATGCGGTTCGATTGCCTGCTTCGAAAAGCAGTATAATCGGTGGCTAATTCGAAGACCCGCAATCGTTGGCTCATTCGCGTTACGCAACTCGTTCTGAACGTCGTTCGAACGTCGATCCTGGATAAACGCGAGAAAATTGAACGAGAATTTCGCGTGGAGACGCGGTGCGAGAGAGGAAAGGACGATAAATGGAGAAACGAGGAGACGAAAGCCGCGAGAGACGGTTCACGAAGGTGCAGTAAGGAGAAATTCCATCCTGTGCGCAAAGGATCCAAAGATCTCGTCGTCTTGCCGCCAAATCGACGATCGAGGGAATCGCTCGTTTGTGCGGAAAATCGGCCCCTTCGTGCATGATTTACGTATATTGTATCCTCTCATCTTGTTACTTTCCACGGATAATTTCGCTTCTCCTTTGCTAATTCTACCTACGATGATCCGGAGACGAGAATCGTAAGAATTTCCATCGTTTAGGATATCCTAGGTGTTGAGCAAACTATCGTAAAAATTGAAACGTGTCTGATTCTAGAAATGTTTCCGAAATTCTTTCGTTATCTTCCTCTTCGTGCTTCGACTCGTTACTCTTTAATAAATTACGACAATTCTGTCTGTATATATTCATGGTTATACTACTTACGTATTTTTCTGAAGAAATTTCTATTTCATTTTCGTACTTAATATTTTATTGATATTTTTATTTTATCGCTTTTCTATTGGTACTCACTGTTACTTCCAGGAGTGATAATTTAGCAAATTAGAGCAATTTTAGATACGTATATCAATGATAATAGGTAACCCAAGAAATCTGCTGTTTTTATTTATGTAATTGGAAGTAGTTATTGTATAACGAGATACATATGTAATTAGTGCTATATCAACTAGAGTAATAATTTAAAGGCAATTCAGGCTAGTTTACTCAACCCCTCAAGGACATCTGGAAATTTCTCATCGATGGAAATAAAGCTTCCGACTGGGCTCATTTCCATTCCCGGTAATGCGTAATTTCAAGACCGTGTACGAGACGTGATATCGTCGTTGTGTGCTGCCAAAACTCTCTTATTACGACTACGTGACAATTCCAGTAAATAACTGATCCTTAGAAATTTCTATTTACATTCCTATTAAAAATACAATTTCAACTTGCCTACCAGTGAAAACACGTTACGCCAGCACCTGATCAAAAACCGTGTCCAGTATACTCAGCTTCGATACTCTTCCAGGATAACCCATTCTGCCCCCATACAATAAAAATCCCATAAAATCCCGCTATTTCTCTACAAAGAAACAAACCTCTCCTCGCGTCGAAAAACACGTGCCCCTTTCCGAACCCCTTGATACATTTCGTTCCATTTCCATTATTTTCGCGACTTATTATCGAATCCTCAAATCGCAATTACCCTTTTTCGCGAGTATTCGAGACAGTCCGCGAAATTTCTCGAAATTTCAACCACGCGTTGAAAGAATATCCCCAAATTCGTATGCGATTTTGATTCGTATGCGAGATGCAACTTTTTATTCGTATTTTCACGACATTCCTACGTGAGAAAACGTACGAGGGCTCTTTCCTCTTGCGGATGTAAATGGGTTACGGAAAAGAAGCAAGAAAATGATTAAACAGAAAATGGGAAAAAAAAAAGAAATAAGAAATAAAATCGTGAAACATACGAGTGCACGGCAGACACACTAAATAAAAACGGAAGCACGTTTCTGCACAAACCAGCGATAACAGAATCGTCGGGATTGAGCGGTCAATTCGGAAGCATCCCTGGTGCCAGCTACGCTACGAATTCTACGTCAGCGATCACAGGCGGTATGCATGAATTAGTCGTGAAGTTATTTATATTACAGAGTATAACATTAAATAACATAATAAATGGTAAGAGAGCACAGAGAATGAGAGAATACACATATATACGATATAATGCACAATATATGATCCTCGGGTTGTCACTCACGTTTGCTTGAGCACGGAGCATTTGAGTTTGGCAAGAAAGCAATGGTGATGATTGGTCGTGGTAGCAGATAGTGAATTGCTCGACTATCGTTGAACCGTTCGTTCGCGTTGGTTTCGTAAACCAAGTTTTCGCACTTACTTGACAAGAACCATGTCTGACAGTTCTGTTTTCACACCGTGCTTCTTTGGGTCGTATTCCGCTATCATTGGGCGCATTGGTGTTCTCTGTAACAAAGGAGAAGACGGTTAGTCCGATCATTTGCTTTCACCCGGCAATTTCATCGTGCATTTACATTTAACAGTTGCCGGTTATTCACAGATCTCGCCAACGAGTCATTCATGGTCCACGATTTTACTCCACGGACAGATTCGCTATGACAATTTATCGCAACACTTCGCCACGAGTGAGGAAAAGGATCGGCTGATTCATAATTGGACGTCGATTAATCGAGATAAGCGAAAAATTACGCACTAATGTCCCGATTTATTTTCCCACGCGAGTTTGTTTCCTCTCGCTTCTTCAATGTACTAAGAAATTGCGCGAAAATCGACGAGGAAAATCGGCACGTCTGTCGATAGGCTGAGCAGAAGGTGCACCCTTGCTTGCCGAAACAGAACCACACGACAGTGGGAATTATCCCCGCTTTTACGTAACACGACAAATTATTCAACTACGTAGTTGGCCCGATAACAATGGAATCGCGATTAGACGGTAATTACCATATCGAGGAAACGAATAACCGCAGCGTTTCCACTGCTTTATCGCTTCTTTTTGCATGCAGTTCAGCACAGGTATACCCTTTTGTCGGGGAAACGGAAAAGGAAGAATCGAACTTGATTTTGCCGATGAAAATGACCGAATATTGACACCCAAGAATGAAAATTTCCCGAATTTCACTCTTTGCGAACGAAGAAGACATATGTAGTCGTTGAAAACATAAGTTTCGTTATGTACAAAAATTAGTCTAGGATATAAAGAGTGAATAAGTAGTTTATAAAACCTAGATTCTGGGAACGAATGTTTATATAAATATTAGATAAGAATTGGGGGTTCTTGGGGGATTCTTGCGAATCGGTCAGGTGTTCTAGAGAAGCACTCAAAGATGGATATACTTTCCTCGTAATGAATAATAATAAAATAGTAATAAGAGAATTTCAAGTAGCAATGTATAAAATGTAAAACCGCTAAAAATGACAAATTTTAGAAAATTCTTTAAATAAGAAGTATTAACCCTTTGCACTCGACGATTTTTTGACTAGAGAAGAGTAGAAATTCAAAGATTTTCTACTAAAATACCGACGATACCTCTTTCAGCAGTAAATACAGAATTGTATGATAATAGAATTGTACAATTATTTGATTTCGATACCTCTCACACTGTTACGTTACGTTAAATTTAATATATTAATTAATATCGATCTTCCAAATTTTATGAAACGGTGACTGAAGCTCACCTCTCGAGTGCAAAGGGTTAATAATAAAAATAAAAATATTACGTCGTGCATAAGGGTTCAGGGAATATATCATATAATTATTTTCCTGACACGGAAAGGGAATATAGCGAGACTTTCTTTAACATTGGCACGACTACTGAGATTTTAGCTTCCTGTCTTTTACATATACGAATATGAACAACGCGTAATTTGATTTGACAGTGAAATCGTGCGAGATTATGTTCTCTCGGAGAAATCGCGATTGTTTAGGCTAAATATTTGGAATAGGGTAAACGACCATTTCGTATCGCGGATATTGAGATGGTCAGTGTTTATCGCGCACAACTGCGTCCTTTGTTGCACGGGCTTTACAGTTTGTTTCCCTCTTTCCCGACAAAAGTTCAGCTTTTCTATTTTGATCCATTAACTGGGTCGTTTCTCGATTGTAAACGTCTCCCACACGTGCATTTAAAAATAAGTCGACATGAAGTAACTCGTCTTGTCTGCGGCAAATGCCAACGGAAACGTGGAAAGACCTGAAATTTACTGTCTTAAACGAAAGATAAAGAGAAACACGTATAATCCGAGGCTAAAGATATAATAAACGATGACGGATGAGTGGAAGTTTTATCCTAATTTACGAATTTCCCGTGACGCATTAACGACTCGAAATATACTTTCCTGGAAAGAGATAAAAAGCAACGTGAATAGGTATAATACGACAAGAAACGAATATTAAACGATAAATAGATAAGAAACGACAACTGATGGATCCAAATTTTATCGCAATTTACGAATTTTCTGCGCCGCGCGTATGGCGGGAAATTCAAACTAGGCCAGAGTAAAATAATAACGAGCATCAGGAGCATTATTTTAAAGGCGTGTTACGCAACCTGCGACTATATCGTGCAATGTATGCCGATCGCAAAGAGATCGACGATCGATGGTAAGCGGAGATAAGCATTCGCCTTGTAGATATCTTAATGTTGCGAGATAAGCCAACCTGTTTGGAAACAGGCCCATTCAAGTTGCACGAACGGTTAGTACCGGGAACTTTGTTGCAACTACGTAAATGATCGTCCATTATCGACAGCAGTGACGTATAATTGCATAATGTATGCTTAAGATGATATCGGGAATTTGTCGAGCACCGATATTCCACTGCGAAACTAAATTTCCCATTTTCTACAAAGTGATCTTTAAACGAAATCAATTCTCGGAAAATGCATCAAATTTTCATGTATTTTCTCACCTATTTCCAATTTCCTATTTCTCGTAATTAAATGACGGGAAAACATTTGCCAAATGCAATTGCAAATTCTACGATAAAAGAAAAGATTAGCCAAAACCTAGGGGATGTACAGTGAATGAAAATCTTGGAAGCAGGTGTTAGATAGATATCTAGTAAAACACGTGGTTACGCAAATCAGCCGAAACCAATGCACTCTGTTGCAAGTATCTTTACACACGTAACGTAATAGTAACCAAACGTACGTGGAATCGAAACGTATTTAGAGCGGCGTTCATTAAAGACGAAAATGGACAGGTGGATTCATTGACATTTTCGGACATTAGCGACGAGCCAACGAGCCGGTGTCGTTTTGCGCAGTTTAGAATAGACCTGGTTCTATATAAACGATGCAATATGTCGTCTCGTGTATCAAACACTTGCTAACGCACACATGCACCTTTGTTTGACTGGCGCCTAGGTGAAGCCAGACACCGATACACTTCGTGGTCTGCCTTTACAACCTGTTCGACCTGTCAATGGTGCTCTTTCGTAACAGTCTCGTGAACGAACGAAGCTCCTGTTGCTCGATTTTTATCGGTCGCCCAGTGACCCACGGTAGCCTATCGTTTAACAACGTCGTATCTCCATTTCCTCCATTTCAACCGCGAATAATTTCCAACTAGCCTATCTACGCGGAATATCACTGTGTTCGAGCAACATGATCATTGGATAGCTCCGACTAGCGACAGAGATTTCGACAGAAATAAAATTTCACTTGACAAATGACAAACGATTAATGACAACCAGTTGGGATAATAAATAATAAATTGAAACATTACTGTGAATTAACGATAAACAGAAACTGTCGGTATTTAATACACGAAACGTCAAAGTCTGACTTGCTTGGTGGTAAGTAACGCTTGTTGGACATATTAAGATCCGATACAGAGGTAGACTTAAATCAAAGACGATGTTTTCTCATTCGAAATCTTTATTTCATCGATATATCTTCGAGTGAAAAAGATGGCGAAGAAAGCTACCTGTAGGTTTGTAAAATCCAAATGTCACGCAGAGTTGTAGGTACAAGTGAAGAGTATCAGAGTATCACGCGCTTCGCATGACCGAAAGAGATCACTGTGATATTCAAGAACAGCCTAGCAGGGACGCGAGAGTAAACACAGTCGTCTAGGATGAACGACACGATCGAGTGAGAGTACACTGAACTCGATACCTAGTGTTCGCATAAATCCTCGAAACAGATGCAATCTTAACCATAATATTCACTGAGTATGTTATAGTACGATACAATAGTACACAAACCAAGTTCGAATTAAGCTGATCATTTGTATTCACCCTGATGTGAGGACGGTCGTTGCCCACAGTGGACAAGGAGCTCATCTCCACGTCGTGCGCGCTGTCCGTGTTCCCCATTGTTTGATTCGATCAACGCGTCGTATCCAACATTCCTCCGGGATCACTCTCGCGTTCGCTTCTTTCCGCCCCGAAGCTTTCTTCCTACCCCTCGAGAAGATGCTTTCCCGAGCACGGGTGTCAGTCGTGTGCCACGTGTATTATTTATCTTCCATTGGTGCCAAACACCGACGGTACACAACGCCAAAGCGCCGTCTCGGACGAGATCCGATTTGTCCCAGTTTGTTGGCAACCGCAACGTTATTCGTCTAAATAGAATGGCTCGAGGGGCCACTCGAACAGACGCGCACCTTCGAGCACGTGGACCGAAAGCTCAGGCAGATCAGCGCGTATCACCAGGTATCACCAGGTATCACCGATGCACCAAATCCTATCACCCTTCCACGACCCGGTGAAGACGATCCTTCTCACGCTGATGGTACGTTGATGGAATTGCAGAAACATTACGAGGTGAGGACGCGAGGGAACGATTGCCGCTTTTCCACCGTGAGCAAAAGCAGAACCGAAAAGGAAGATCGCGAGGAACGGTGGGTCTATCTTGGGATCTCCCCACTCGAAAGTAGGTCCACCGGGAGGAAGGCGAACGCGAAACGACTGGTCCAGGTTGAAAATCGGAGCAGCTTGAGACGCTTTCTCGTCGTGCAACACCTCCGGCACGATTCCTCCGGGTAAACTATGCTCGTGCTCGTCTTCTCTAGCGACTCTATCTACGGCACACCGAGTGCCGCGGCGTAGAAAACCGCGGATCGCTGCCAAATCTTTCGGCAATGTCCCGAGGACGGGCTCTTTATATACCAAACGGCTACGAAAATAGGAAGAGCAAATAGACGTGGCCGTCTCACGTGAGCAACTCGTCTCGTTCTCTCTCTCTGTGTACCTTGCTCTGTCTCGCCGCTAACCAAGCTTAATAGAAGCTCTGTTTGAACTATGCGACAGATGGACGCGTCCGCGTCACCTGCGTCCACTTTGACTATAGGATTAAAAGACACTCTAATTGGACGTGAATCTTCTTTGGATGAGCCTGGAACTTTGTCTACGCTCTTTCTAGCCTAGCAGCCGATGTATTGTCTGCGAAAAAAGACGATTGTTGAAGTGTTGTAACAAAGAGAGGTTAGGAGGACCTTGCGAT